CTGGCAGAAAACAGTAACACCAAAATTTACTCACCATTCCTTCAAGATGCTTTTGCTGTGTTGTACAAATTGGCCACCTTGTCCACTTTGCGTGAACTTACCCTGCAAAACAGCAAGACAAATGTCAAGCAAATTTAAGAGAGAAAAGGATGGGACCGACCCTGTCTTCAGCAAGGTTTGATTGTTCCCTTTGTCTTATTTGTAAAACAGCTTGGTGAAAGAGTACAACCATCAGATTAAAAGGGAATATTGCATGAATGGCAGTGAGCTCGAGGACAAGGATAGAGGGTACAAAGAACAAAGTCTTTGATAAATAGATTAATAATTTTTAACTTGTGGAATGGTAATATCAATTAACAAAACTGCACACCCGTTTTCCTGTTCCTGAAATACAGCCTTTCTGATGGCAGGAATGGGGGAATGAACTTGGGGGATAAATTCTCAGGGGCACTAACTTCATAGAGGACAAAAGAAGCGTGAAAACATTTGGTTGTAACAGAACACATGCTCTTCCAGTTTTTGTTGCAGAGTTATCTTTTACATTTCCATTACTTATTGTTTGTCGCTTGCAAGCTGGCCCATGAAATAGCACGTTCCTAATGAAGCAAGGAAGTGTATGTTTAGTGAAGCAAAACTAAGAGCAGAGCCAACATCAAAAAAGGAAATGTACTGAACATAGATATTATTTAGAAAGAAACACAAGTTTTGTTTTCTTCAGGGCCAATATTTGGATACTGTCATAAAAGGGTTCACACAGTTACCTTATGGAGAGGGGACTCACCTCCAAAGTTGGGCACAAAAAGCTTAGACACTACAAGGGAATTTGGGGTTTAAAATTATTATTTTTTTGGTTAAAATCAGGTTTATGTTCATCAGCAATGTCCTCCTTGGTGATAAAACAAGTGCTTGAGCTTGTGTGTGTATGTGTGTGTGTGTGAGTGAGTCACCTGACACGCGACGCTGGGTGGACGCAGTTGATTACCCACAAGTCCAATTCTATTAAAAGGACACGGTCATAATCTCTAATCACTTCCATGTCTGGAGGAATAAGAGAGCAGGTTAATCTGGATTACACGTCACCATAGTGAGGTCACAGCCGAGGCAGCTGATTCCCTGACCAGCCAGGAAGAAGAGCGGGAGAGAGACCAGGTGAAACACAAAGAAAGAGGGAGACAGTGAAGCTCATGAGTTATGAAAACAATTCATCCATTTACCAAAGCTTACCCTACATGACATGCACACGTTTACAGATGCTCACAGGGGACATGCAGCAATATGCCATATTAATAAAACAATTATGAAACCCCTTCTATAAAACAAGTCATCTATTTATAAGGGTTTGCTGCATTGCTTTACATTTCTGAGAAGAGGGACAACAGCCCAAGAAGTGCAGAAGACCTTGTGATCTATGCCTATAGGATATGTTTTGGCCTAAAAAAAATTCTGAGAGCTGAAAAGAAATGCAGTGATGCAGTGGGTTCCACTTTTTGCAAGTACTTCAGCAAAACCAGTGTTCGCCTCCATCAGATGGAAGAAACATTACTACAAACTATTCACAACTGTTTCAACAAGTTTGACAGTTGAGCCCCTGGTGGCATGTGATCTGCACGCCCTGCAGCTGCTCCTGACATCCTGGGAATGACCACAGTGCTCTTCAGCATTTATCACTAGTCACTCTTCAGGCATGTTAACAAGCTCAGCAAATAGCTGGATGTTTTGTACATTTCTCTGTATGGGCTACTTGAATGTGATCAACTGGGAGAATTTGGGTCTCATTGTATGTTTTGATGGACAGACGGGACTTTTCTCCATATGCACACATGTATAAGCAAATGTAGCCTGTGGCTTCACTCTCTGCAGGTCAGAGATGATCTCTTTTTAAAAAGTGTAACGCGACAGAGATATTTCCCAGATCAGACGGGTAGCTCTACATATTAGTGAGAGCAATGACAGTGAGTAAAGTGTGCACACTCATCTTCCACGCCTGTTTTGTCATAATAATACCATTATCCTATAACTTGTCGCCCTGGCTGATACACCTTTCCCCCAGCAGCAGAAGCAGCGGCGGCGGTGTAGTTCACTACAGTGCTTTTTATCCCCCGACCGGTCCTCCCAGCTAAAACGCATCAATCAGTGCTCGGCTGCTGTGGAAGCATCGCTGCCCTGCAAAGCCTTCACATTCACAAACCTGTTATATGTGTCTGCTTGACAAGCCGAAGGCTAAATTATCTTCGGGTCTACGGTCTTTTTATCCCCCGCTTTTCCAGCCTTGTTCCAGGATCGAGAGAGAACCTGTGGCAGGCAGTGAGAATTAGCCTACTCTCGACAGCTCCTACAGTTGTTTCTCTCTGGTTATGACGGACACATCAGCTGACTGTGAAACTATCCCACCACTGAATAACAGGTTAACACTGAGTGTGCTGATTTTGGAGCCGGGGCTCATTTCTTTGACTTTAAGGCCCAGGTCGCCTTTTCCGAATGAAAACGGGGACGCGCTTTACGGCTAAAAATACCTGTGTACACTATATTTGGCTTGGCAGGATCACAATCACAACGCTAAAATAGTCGGGCCCGCCCCAATGAATGGGCTCTCTGCTATCTCACTCTTCCTCCGTTGGCCAGGTGCTAAATTTAGTATCAAGGCTTGCGTCAATCACGAGTCTGAGTGCGTCAAGGCTTCCCCCGCCCCCCGGAGCTCATCATTGGTCAGAATCAGGACGTCGACTAAATAATACGGGGCTCTTGATTGGCTGTTATGAGTAATGGCTCTCAGCGGCTCCGGAGGCCCTTTTTTAATTTTGAGGTTGCTGGGTACGCTTGGAGGACGGCTCCTTTTCACATCCTGTTAGCTGGTTGGCTGTAGTATTTCCTCACTCCTGACCAAAGTTATTAAAAAAGGATGAGGTAATCCCATTTACTCTGGCTGCAATTTCCCTTGTGTCAGGACTTGTTTTTAAATAAGTGTCAATGTCTTGACAGAATTAGCCTGGACACTGCCATCTGATCTAAAAAGATTAGGCTACTGAAATAAGTTGATTGGTATTGAAAAAGGGGTAGGCCTAATGACCTAATTGGATCATTTCTAAATAAAATTGTATGACCTGATAATAGACTAAATGATGTATTATGATTGTGAGTTTAACAACTTGGATCAAAAGAAAGGTCATAAAAATAGCTGAAAAGAAGAAATTCAGATATCCTATGTGTTGATTTTAACTGACGGTGCTGCTCATCAGTCTGTCATGACAAAATAACACGGCAGCGACTTTGTGGTCTCAAGGCACAGAGTCTATATTGACCATCTTCACATACAGGCTCATGTGTCTCAGGAAGCATGAGGTGAAGTAGAGGCAACCATCCGTTCAAGACACATTAAGACATGTTGGCATAATGCAGGAAGTAGGCTACTTAAAATATTATTAACATTAGCCTAAAAATGTTCCTGTCGTCACATCAGAAAACACACAAACCACAACAAACATTCAGCGTCTCGCTCAAGTACAACCAGTAAAAGTTGTAATACCACAACGTAAAAATACAGCGTTACACATAAAAAGTCCTGCATTAAAAATTGACTTAAGTTAAAGTACAAATCTGTACAAGTATATACTAAAGGTAAAATTACTTATTATTATGTAAAATTATTATACTTATGTAAAATTACCAATTTCAAATTGTTATGTTTCTGTGGATGCTGTAACACAGAAGAAGCATTTTAATGTTGTAGCTGGCCATGGAGCTAATTTTAAATCTTTTATACACTGTAGTTAGTTTGTAAATGCATCATTTTTTGTAAGACATATATGCTATGTTTTGCATAAAATCCTGAATCTGCAAAGTAACACATAAATATAGCTGTTTGAAAATGTAGTGGAGTAAAAAAGTGTAACATTTGTCTCTAAAATGTAGGAAAGTATAAGTGCAGAGTAGCATAAAATGGAAATACTCACTAAGTACCTCAACATTTAAAAGTAATATTACTTTTTGCCACTAAAACTTTTCTTGGTGGTGACTAGTGATTTGGCCTGATAAGTGTTATGATTGTGATTGTGATTATGATAGGTCTATATTATATTGTGTATTAATTGCATACTTAGATTAGATTCCCACTGATAAGACTGTGTAAAATTGGTAGGCATAGTTTTCCAGCAAATTAAAATTTTGGGTTTGGTTTTGTAAAAGCTTTTGAATTTGCTTTCATTTTAATGATGAGAATAAAATTTTGACTAAGGAGGGAGGCAAGGTGTGTGCTTGCTCGCCCGACGGATCCCCCTCGGCTTCCTCCCCTACACCCATCAAACCAACGCCTCTCTCTCTCTCTCTCTCTCTCTCTCTCTCTCTCTCTCTCTCTCTCTCTCTCTCTCTCTCTCTCTCTCTCTCTCTCTCTCTCTCTCTCTCTCTCTCTCTCTGTATCTGGCACGGCGTGCGGGTCTTATGTGTCTGGTACTGTACTGAGAGAGAGAGAGAGAGAGAGAGAGAGAGAGAGACAGAGGGAGATCTACTTTGGGTGACGTCACCTCTCCCATGGCGTCACATTGACGTAGCGCATACCATGCCTCTGTGTGGAGGCAGAGCCCACATAAATGCACTATTTGACTTTCTCCCCTCAGACGGCGCACATAAACAAACCCGCGTTACAACTCCACACTTTGCAAAGCACACATCAGCACTGACAACACTCAGCTCGCGGGAACGGACGTAGACACACTCCTTTCTACCGGGAGTTCTTAATTTATTTATTTTTTCGGCTTCGTTTTTTTTTTTTTACTTCGTGAATTTAGAAAAAGTAAAAGGAAGAACAAGAAACTTTTTTGTCGCCAATGCGCCACGCTCCTCTCCAATATTAGGCTAATAAGAGGTTTTTAAATATTTTTTCCCTCTACGTTATTTCGACTCTTGGTGATTATTCTGGATGGAAATAGGATACTTCATGCGAGGTTATTACCACATGTAAAGACGGAACCGCTACAGCAAACCAGTAAGTAAATTGTGAATGAATGAGTCCATGACATTCTTCCGTACAGCGTACTTCTTAGATTGCCAGACTCATACAGAACCAAAACATATTAACCCTCAGCTGCGTCAATGCATGTTATATTAACTAAATCGCATGTGGTGTTGAATAGACATTAATAACATCACCTGTGTCTGGTTTGTCCAACTTTGTGCGGCTATATAACCTGTTGATCTGCCAAGCTCCACTGCGAGTACAGCTGCTCATGTTGTCTGTCCGTGTGGTTTCTCCGAGAACAAATGAAGCTAAATTAGAATTTAATTTGCGCTAGGAAGGTATCTTATCCTTTCTGGTTGTCATGGAAATGAGATGCCTCTCACTCACACAATGAATAGTGGAGTCAGACGCACTAATGGTCTGAGAGGAGAATAGTCTAACCTACATTCAGTCAGGAGCTGAGAGAGAGGAGAGTTAAAGCTCTTTGATTTTATGCCATGTGGGGTTGTTGTTTTTTGCCTCATCATGTAGGATTTTCTGTTGTGCTGTTAATGAGTGATTTATAAGATTTAGCCTACATGGTGTGTTTGTGGGATAGTGGGCTTGTTTGTAGGCTATGTCACTGACAGGCAAGTCCACGATTAGGCTATTACAGTAGCCTAAGTATCAATGTGATTCTTAACCCTGGTTTGCTTTTTGGGGATTAGAGCTCCACAAAAAAGGTGATAGTTGTTTTCCAAAACTGGTGGCCAGTTTTAAATGTCAGCAGTCTGACTGTCTCTAGGAGGACACGGCCTCTCATCCCACTGAAAGCAGGAAAAACACCCTTGCCACATTACATTTCTGAAGCCTTCTGTTATATACATCTGATGACAACAGACGCTGTTATCTACAGCAGCTGCCAAGGCTACCCAATTTATTGTAAGAAACAGCCACTGCTGAGTTAAGGTACTTGAGCAACTTTCTTATTTTACCTTTCCTACTTTCACGCACTCAGGTTAACGCACGCACGCACGCCGCGCACGCAGCCACTTCTGATAGTCTCCCTCTCAGGGCTGATTTACAGTAGGCCTATACTCACATATTTCTCTGGTCTCCCCTTTATGTCCCCTCTTTTCTCTGTCTCTGTTTGCTGGAAGCCTCGCGCTGTCCGGGGTTATTGGTGCGAGGGGCTACCGGGGGCTACCGGCGCTCCGGGGCGCGTGCTTTGCAGCTCTTGTGTCGTTCTCTTGGTTACCGGTGCGCGCAGGGCCAGAGCCCCACCGACTGTCTCGGCCTGAGAAGAAAGCCAGAGGGGAGTAGTTTGCTCATTTAGAAAAAAACAGAGTGAATGTCTCACTTTGCAGATTATTGTGAATATGGCATTTAATTTTCCCTCTTTAAATCCCCACAAAGGTTGTGACAAGAGCTAATTTACGCATAATTGTGCTCTTGACTTCAAGTTTATGTAAGTGAATCAGGCTATTTAGTCTTGTATCAAAGAATATGTTATTTCTGCTGCTGCTGGAAACAACTAGATTTTTTTTCTGCACTCCAATGGCACCACACATAATTGAATAATGCCTTAACTGTTCCAAATCAACCCTAATTCAATAAATATACACAACCTTACTTGTTTGTTTACTCTGGTTTGTCTTTTTTCTTTATTTCAACATATTTGAAGTCTCTGGCATTCAGTATGCATAAAAGTCATATCCTGACCAATGAACCATCATAAGAGTTCATAGAGGTCCACGGTTTCCTCTCAGAACTGGTATGTAAGTTTAGAGTTAGCTCTGTCTATCTGTCCAAGAGGACGAATTTGATCTGTTGACACAAAGATAAGATACGAGGGCAGTCTACAGGTGCCTGTAGAACTGAGCGTCGGTTATGGGGGCTGTGGCTCGTCAACACACAACATTGAGACGCTTACCGGGAGATCGAGTGGTATCTCGACTTGACCGTATACCAGAGGGTCTGTGTCTTGAAAAGAGAGGTGGAGAAAGAGAGAGAGAGCGTGCGTAAATAAGTGAGCGTGTGACAGAAAGGGGGCGCTCTGGGCCTTGAAATCCTGCGGCCACAGTGCGCCCTGCTGCAGTGAGAGGGAGTTGGAGGCGCACGGCACACAGGAGTCCACTGGTTTGGTTTCAGGTCCGACTCTCCAAAATTTACAGATTTCTCCCTGGCTCTGGATGAACCCTGAGCAGGCGAATGCGGTGGCGATCAGAGGCAAGAAAAACGGTGGCCTGGAGGCACTGGCACAGACTGCTTTTTTAAAAGTTGTCAGTTTTGTAGGTCTGTATTTGTGGAAGTTGTGTATAGTTTTTAGCCTGGTTTATTGTGTCTTTTGTAGCGCAAAATTTTAATTGTTATAATAAGGGAGCCTTGCTTTGTCTTAGAATGAAACTTGTCGCCCACGTAAGTGTAAGTCTTGATATGAGCTAAAAGTCCTCAGTTGTGGTTCATAATATTCTCTTTGTAGCACGCATTTAGTGTCATACTTAATGCCAAAACGTTTAATTTAAACGCGTAAATCTTCCTTTACTTTGTGTTTCCTATGGTTTCTATACCGTTTCTGCCTCTGGCATCGCGTTCTGATGTGCGCACAGCAGTTTGCATGTACTTTCATCTTTCTGTTTCTTTTCATCCGATTTGCTGACTTTCTAAAAAAGATAATTATCTCTTTTTGGTCTAAAATGAAATCGTATTTATCGTATTTGTCTTTAAATTGTGCCAACATTTCTCTTAGCTCGAATGTTTTGGGATGTTAAGACTGTTGTAAATATCAGTGAAAAAATGTAAAACAATCTGTCAATTCTAAATCTGCCTCCAAGTGTGATTTTTGGTACCTGATGGTCGTTGAGTCGAGGGTACGATATACACACCTTTTTATTCTGCCTGCCGCCACATGACTGGCTGTAACCCAGGCATCTGTCCTCCAGACACAGGTTCGGAAGAGCGAGCCCAGCCGAGCTCGGAGCTTCGGCGACCGGACACTTCCTCTGCGACGCCCGCCGAGTCATCCCTGCTCCAGGAGTCCTGTCCCGGCCGCAGCCACGCCACCCCTCAATCCCGGACACCCAGCACCATTCAGCGCGAAGCTCTTTCACCAGGTACAGACCCGAGCCTTTCCTTTTCAACATCATCAATTATTTTTCTTTCTTTCTTTCTTTCTTTCTTTCTTTCAGCTGATGCTTTAAAGTCAGTGTGACTGTTGTGGCTCAGATCAGTATTTGTGCACCTATTGTGGTGTGAGAGGCGTTTGCTTATGTTTTATTGTAAAGGGCAAAAAATGTCAACTGTGAACTCAGAATTTAACTGAGCTGATATGTTATGTTTTAGCTCATTTTGTGATTTTTAATATAAGGAGACATCCTTATATTAAAAATCACTAGCAAATCCTAAAGTTTTTTTCAACATGCTCATGCATCTGTGTGTTTGTGTCAGCTGGCAAATGCGGACTGAGTTGACATTTCAATCATTAGACAGACGAGCAGAAATAAGAGACTTTTGAGACCAGGCACACCTAAATTCAGACGCTGTGGGCGAATCACATAGGTCATAGACATCGATCCTCCTAATGACTCAACCACCTTTTTCAAAAGCCTTTATGACTAAAACAAACCAAATAATGGCTATATCTTTTGTACGTTGTTTCAGTTACAGTTTTGTTTATGTTTTATTTTGTCTCCACATAATTTCATCTCTGTCCTTGATAAATTAAAGAAGTAATAAACCCTTAAAATAATAGGCTTAAATATAGATATTTAACATACAGTCAGTGGTGGCTTTGTGCGTGTGTGTGTGTGTGTGTGTGTATTTCTGTATTAAAATCATCAATTAACTGTGTTAGGCCACTAAATTCAAACAAATTATGTCATGATTCACTGACCCCCCAAAAAATCCTGTGTTTTTGTATTTATGTCTGCAACTTCATGTTTTTATTTGTTAGATCTATGGCATTCTGACAATGAACAAGCGCGCTCAGTTATTGGAACAGCTGCAGTTTGTCCAGTTGAAATGCACACCTCGAGGTTAGAGACTGTTTCCCTTCGACTCACTATGCTGCACCACCTGTGTCTGACTCTGCTTGGGTTGTCTGTCCTTTTGCTTGCAAACACACACACACACACACACACACACACACACACACACACTGCTTGCATGCAAGTGTAAAAAAAAAAGGTAATCTGATGGTGGTGTTGGAGTGTAGAAGGGTTTCCTACAGATTTGCTTCAGTGATATAAAAATGAAGACGCTCCACTTATACAATTATATTTGTATTGGTGAGTGTGTTAGAGAGAGAGTGTGCACGCTTGTGAGCATGGGCGTGTGTCTGTGTGTGTATTTCTGCGTGAATGCTAGGCACATCACCAGATGTAAAGCGCCAAAGAGGATGAGACGTTTGCAGACACAAGTGCAGGTTTTACAGGTTCTTCTCAGGATATGGGTGCATGTTTATTGGCAGAATGAGCGCATACGGGTTCATGTTGACATCTTGAACATTATTACTGATTAAAATATATGCGTGTATGCCAACAGCTCATCAAAAGCTTCTTTCTTCACCTGACACACACACACAGACAAACATCACAGTCCGTATAGTTTGAAGTAACTGTCAGCTGTCAAGTATATTTGTTTTACAACATTTTTCTATATCTCTCTGTCTCTCTTTTTATCTTTCATCTCTTCTCAGGCATCAACATGCAAACCTATTGTATTTAAATATATATGTGTGCACATAGCTGCTGCTGCTAAGACAGGTGCAGTAAGTCTTAAACGCCCCCAACACACACACACTGAACCCCAACACTGATCCGAGGCTTGACCTACTGACACAACACAGAGACCCACAAAGTTCACCACTGTACTCTCCACATCTCAGTTCATTTTTTTTCTCTGGTGTCTTTCGTCTTCCTCTGATGCCTAATCAGTTGCAAAAGTATTTTGGTATAGCTCAGAAAGGCCCCATGACGCCCATGATGCTGCATGTGTGTTTTTCCACGTGGGTTTAAGAGCTGGTCACTGGTGGAAGAAAGAAAAAACTTGATGACGTTAAGCACAGGCAAGGCCTACAGCTTGACTCATGTCCTCAATTAAAAACAAAAATCTTGCAGCTTGATATTCCCACTGAGACACACTGTAGGCCTGTCTGTCTGTATGTGATGTGTCTGATGAGTGAATTTTCAGAAAATAATTTATACTCGAACTTTCATATTACCCAAGAAAATTTTGTTTTTAGTTTGGGATTATTTTAAAATGAATTGTTGTCATTTTTCCCACCAGGTCCAGTTTGAGAGGTCAGCTTTCTTTTGACCTTTTGTTTCTTGGCTATGACAAATAGGCTTACACCAAATCAATTAAAATCATTAAAATTAAATAAAAATAAAAATAAAGTTATGTATAGATGAGTGTCTCTCCCATTGTTGTTTTTTTTTGTTCTCATTTACTTAGGCTAATTAACGCTTTGAGTCATCCTTTTTGTTTTTCGAGCCCCCACAGCCAACATGCTAGCTGCCCCTCAGGTATAAATTAATTGGAGTCAGAGCGGCTGAAATGAATGCGTCACTCTGTCTGCTTCTGCCATGAGTGACATTCATGTAGTTTATTAGGCATATATGGCTGCAAACTAAATGCTGTAGGCTATTTTCAAAGTGTATTATTATTAGCTTATGAGTAGAAGTAGCCTAATACATGGAAATATGAAAAGGGGATTTTACATTTACAGGACTTTTATTTTGTTAAAAAAGGATTGGCTTTTTTTTTTTTTTTTTTAGTGTAGCACAGCAGGAAAAAACTTTAATTCACTGACGGAGCCGTAGTGCGCCCGTTTGGATGGAGGTATTTGTGAGTGCTTGAACAACAGCAGGACCGATATGTCCAGTATTTGACTAGACAAACATGACGCGCGGGGAACGGGGCGATTACGGCAGAGCTCGCGCATGCTGGGCGTCAATGGGAGCAGCGCTGTGTTGACAGTTCCCCTGCTCTGTAGCGACGAGCAAACACCACAAAACCCTGGCTGCGCTGACAGTCATAACTGATTAGCCCGCACATACACACACACACTCACGTGCGCGCTCAGGGGCACGCATGCAAACGCAGGTGGAGTGAATTACGTAAGGGGTTTGATAAGACAAGACCATTTAGTCCACACTCAGACACAAACAGATGATGAGGTGGTGACCCGTGCTGTGACAGAATTAAATCAAGTGGAAAACTCGAGAAATACCGACTGGCGTCTGCAGTAGTTAGAGGAAATATCTGTGTGTTTTTTTGTGTGCGTGTGTGTGTGTGTGTGTGTGTGTGGGTTGTGCAGCAAGCATCCAGCACCACCATGGGGTTCCATTATTATTTAATGTTATCTCATCTGTTTTGCCATCTGACTAACCAGAGAATAACCACCCACACACGTGTGCACAGACGCAAACCCTACACACACACACACACACACACACACACACACACACACACACTCCTGAAACTTAGCATTTCAGTATTTGTTAAGTGAATTGGATCTTTGCTATGACTGCTTTGCCTCAGAATTGCGCACTGATGAAGTTGCAATGCAGTTTCTGTTTCTTACTAACTGTGTGCAGAATCAGCAGGGTCTGAAGTTGTGTGTTCATGCTCCAAATAGTTCTACTCCACTTATTCAGTGAAGTGCAAGAAGTGTTAAAACAGGAAATTGAGTAAATGGCAGTAAATGGAAAGATTTGTTCAAAGTTTTTTTCATATTCCTTGAAAGGTGCATTCAGAAAACCTTTGTAACACTTCATAATCTTAAAAGAGCTTTTAAAAAATGCCTGTTCCAATAGAGCTGTGCAGACGTTTTTGGTCATTCACTGTTTAATCGTTGACCCTGTGTAGCACTACCCTTGTGTGCATGTGCCTCTAGCAGATTATGTACCCTGTAGATTTACTGTTGAGTTGTTTCTGTATTGTGCTTTTGTGGGCAATCTTCTTCTGGGAGTCCTGCTTTTCTGTTTAAATCAGGTTTACTAATACATCATTAAACTTTCCTCACTCACTAATGATTATGATGATTAATGTACAGCTGTACTCTACTAACAACATGAACTGCTTTTTGTATGAAACATTTTTGGAGTACATGTGGTCTGATGTGCCACGCAACTCTAACCTACGTGTGTGCTCTGTCTCCCTGGCAGACATGCCCTGTGTGCAGGCTCAGTATGGGCCTGCCCCTCCAGGCTCAGCCTATTCTGGCCAGTCCTTCAGTTACCAGGGCGACAGCTACAGCTCTGACCTCATGACCCCTGACTACACCAAGCTGGAACTGGGTGATGGTGACATCTCTGCCGCCGCCGCCACTACCTCCCTCCCCAGTTTCAATGTCTTTGTGGAGGGCAGCTACGAGCCCAAATCCTCCTGCCTCTACCAGATGCCTCCCCACAGGCCCACCATCAAAAAGGAGGAGGAGAGTTACCCAACTGCCCCGCCACTGGAGGCCATGTCCTCCTCCACCATGTACTTTAAACAGTCTCCCCCGTCCACCCCCACCACCCCATCCCTGCCGCCTCAGCCTGGCACCTCCTTCTTGTGGGAGGAGCACCCCCTCGCCCCGCCATCACACCCCCACTCTCTTGGCTCCAGCTTGGATGCAGGCCCCCTCAAGTCGCCCCGCTTTCCGCACTTCTACCAGCACTCGCCACCCCACAGTGGCGGTAGCGTCGGAGGTTATGAGAGTCTGGGTGGAGGGCTGGTTCGCACCTCTTCCTCTTCCTCCTCCTCCTCCTCCTCGATCTCCCATCATCACGGTCCACCCCTGGAGCAGCCCATGTACCAGCTGCACCGCGGGGCCGGGGGCAGCAGCCTCGCCTTCCGCTCCCTGGCTCTTGGGCCCTGTGGCCCCCTATTAGGAGACAGCCTGCCCTCACCTCCGCCACGTTGCCCCCAAGGAGAGGGCACCTGTGCAGTGTGTGGGGACAATGCTGCCTGCCAGCACTACGGCGTACGCACATGTGAGGGATGCAAGGGCTTCTTCAAGGTAAAGACCATTCAAAGCTAATAAGTTGCACTGTTGCAGTTTGAAGCTTTCAGTTTTTATTTTAAAACCAACATCAACATCCGCTTGTTCCTGCTCTGTGTGCCTTCAGTCCCACCAACAGACACACAACCAGATGCACACACTCAAACATAACTGACATACCACCTTAAAATATCACCCACTATCGAGCTGCAAAATTGACTGACGTATTTAAACTATTTGATTGCATTTGCTTCGCTCCCACTCTACACCCTTCTCTGCACTCTCTAAAACGTCTTTAGAGTCATTATGAAAGCACAACACACCCACAAGGGGTCATCTCTCCCGGCAACCAAGTGGGCAAAGTGTGTGTGTGCGTGCATGTGATTGCTTGTGTTACGTGAGAACGCAGGATGATAAAAACACATTCTCACTCAAACAAACAGGGACAATTGCCCTCCATGCTTGATGCTCAGCCACTCACTCAGAAATAAAGTGCAGTGATAGCCCAGTGGAAAAGGACTCCTCCTTCACATTAGCATGTTTATAGTGAATCAGTGGCCACAAAATTGACCACAATTCACTGACATAATCCTTGGGACGATATGAGTCAGTTTGAGATTCAGTCCGTCAAATGATTACTTCTCAACTCGCTGTCTCAGATGTTACCGCACACATGCACACAGCATTCATAGTTTAACATCACCAGGAAACAGTTTTTAGTCAGAAATTTTCATTCAGTCATAAAACACAACATAGACATAATAAAACACTTCTCTGGCACGTGCATGTGGTACAATGCTTCATTAAAAATACAGTAAATTCACACTGAAGTGATTTCTTTGCATAGTTTTTGAATTACAACGTTTTCAGGCACACTTGTAAGCGGTCCGATTAGTTGCATGAGACAAGAGAGCGAAATTAAGAGACAGCAAAAGGGTGCCAACACAGAGGTAATTGAATAATGCCTCTGGTAGGTAGAAATGAATTATCCTTCTTTTCAATTAGTTTCACAATTTGTTTTTATTTAGTAATTAATGAAAGCAGTGTCTGGTGGCAGCAGGCCGCGGGCTGTCTGCCTGCTGCAGCGCACACAGCAGCAGCCACACAGCCTGTCAGACCTCGCTATGTTTCCTTTACACACATGCAGATGTAATCAACCATGCCCACACAACATATGCACACAACCACACATTCGTACAGTAGCATGTACACATTTCTCAGTCTGTTACATGCTGAATTAGGGATGCAGCAGCAAAAACTGAAATATGCCTTTCACACACCTGCTCTTTTTCATATTCATATTATCAGGCACATTAACTCCATTATCCTGATGGTTCTATTGTCCCCTAAAAATATTTTCCTGATTATATTTAATTATCCCTGAATAGTTATTACACATTAAACCATAGCAGAGGCTTCCTGTAAATGATTGTTATTTCATTAGTGCAATTTGAAACACATTTTCACTTTGAATTAATTTTATCTCTTAAACAAGTAGTTCAGTTTTTCCTGTATTTATTATTTTGGCAGAATAATGTAGTCCATTCACTGGTTTCCATTAATTTAGTGAACCTATTCACTAAATTCAGTGAGTTGGAATTTTTTAAATTAAAAACTATATCTCAGTTAGTATAATACAAACATTAAAAGGTGACCTGTTTTATGCACCAGCTGTCCTAGTTACTCTAGCTGTGCTTTTATAGGTGAAAATATACGGTCAGCTCAGTTCACTGCTCACAATTTTTATTCTCCATTGCTTGCATAGCACGTGAGTCAAAGAAAAGTTGGGAGGTGGTCTAGTGGGGAAAGAAGACAAAAAAACATGGTCACAAATTAAAGGAACAACCTGTCAATAAAAAGATGTTTCTGTGCACCAGGGTTCATGACCAATGAGAGAATATCTCATAGAGAAATGGTGTTTATCCCTCCAATAGAGTTGGCAAGCAGCACTAAAGCTGTTCTGGAGGCTTGTGGTGGCCTGACTCCACTCTATGACACTTCATGTTGGTTATTCCTTTAATTAATCACCCATCTGTATGATACATATAAGATGATAATTCATCATTCATCATTCATTCATGTTCATTCATTCAGTGAAAAAATTAAACCAGATAAACGCCCATACACACACACACACACACACACACACACACATATATATATGGCTTCGCACTTTGAACCAGGTTATAAAAGTGAAGTCAAGTTTCCTTAAAGAAAACAATAAAATACAATCAATGATACCTAGACTTTTTACTTTAAACCACCCTTGCACTTTCTGTATGGACAGAGAAAGAAAGGTTTGATTGCTTCTGATTAAGAAGCAGAGGAGAGAACGGGACAGAAGAGACGGAGAGAGGAGAAGGGGGAACAAAATCCCTAAAGGCTTTTTATTTAAGCCAAGGCTATTAGTACTTGTTACATGTCAGGAATCTGCTTCGGCATGCCTCCATCCAACCCCCCACAGCATGTGAGCTTCTGGAAGCATGTGTGTTCATTTGTGGATGTGCTTTTAGTGCTCATAACTCATTCCTCAATTCTGACTCTCAATGTTTAACTGAGCGTTTTTTTCACTTGAATTAAGTCCTTGCCCACACAAAGCCACCACCCTGAAATTTCAGTTTCTGATACCAATCAAATTTTAAATTAGTCATGTTTTATTTGTAATGAAGTTCAGCCACTAACATCGGGTTAAATTAAGAGACAGATGAGATTAATTAAAACTAGAGTACTCTTACACATCCACTCATATACAAACAATGTGGCCGCAATAACCAGGCGATGTACAGAGCACAAGAAGGATCTACAGATTTATCCAACGAAGGTTAATCAAGGGCAACCTTCGTTGGATAACTATGACCTGGATGACTGAGAATCTTCATAGACATCTACAGATTTAATAATCATATTGTGATAATTTCATCTGTGTGTTTGCTGTGTGTGTGTGTGTGTGTGTTCACCTGCACGCATATGGAATCCCATTGATGAGTATCAGACTAGTTAGTATTATCTTTGATATGTAGGGTCTCTGCTGAGACGCCAGTCATGCTCCATGTTGCTTATTAGAAAGCAAAGTCATGAGAGCTCCAACCACAAAAACACACACACACACACACACACACATGCAAACACACACATGGACAGCAGTGGAGAGAGACAGGAGTGAACAGGAGACAGGCCAGCACTCACTCATGAGAACTTAATTTCCCAGAACCTTAATTGATCATTTCAAACTAAGGCTTTTATTGGAACCAGCTATCTTAGAAATTAGGCCCTAAGGTCACTGAGGGGTAGAACTTCCCCTTCAACCAACCTCCAGTGTGAACTCTGGTAGGCTGGTGGGTTTACACCACTACTTTAGCTCAAACCCCCAATATGCTGCAGGAAAAACACAAGATCTTATTGCAAAATATGAGAGTCCCAGTTAGACTATCCTTAAAATCCAAATGTATCACTCCACACCAAAAGCTGACAGAACTCAAGCATGTTAATTTGACTTTGTTGTTGGACAACATAGCCTACATACAACAAAGAAATGAACGTTGTTTTGGCCTTGGTGCAGACATGTAAATGTTTAGCTACATGCGTGTTCCATGTTGATTTTGCATCATCCACACTGTCATGCAACGGTTCCACTAAACTGATGCTATTTTTCCTCAACCACATTAATGACCATAACTAACGTATCCCAGCGCGCGCGGGTCACCGAGCATTGAAGGGAAGAGATGGAGACATTCACAGCAATCTTCGGTGCCATGGCAACGACTCTCATCCGGCGCTGGCGCCCATTACGCGCCAGTTCCGCTCGCGCCGGAGCATATGGAATAATTGGTGTGTTATTGGTCTCCCGGGGGTACGGACATGTGTGGCGCGAGGGGTTCCTAATTGGATGTATTTGTTTTGATGTGTTTTAGAGGGCGTTAAAGAAGAGGAGAAGCCGCGACACTTTTTGTGTGTGTACCGGTTGTTTAATTTACAGTTTGTTCTGGTACTGCTGAATGGACTACTGGAGTCATAGCTTGACAGCGTATAGGCTACAAACTCTAAACACTTAGTAATCATAGTAGCTATAATTGTATTATTTCTGTTATTTATTTTTTGCAAACGTAGGCTAATTGTTTCGTTGTAACAGATTTGCAACTCAGGCAAATGCTTGCCCAAGAGTTTAAATCATTCTCTGAAAGACGCCTGTAAAGATTGGCTATACGCCTCAGAGGGCCTCAGAGGGTTTATCCCACACCGGCACTGATAGCCTTGTCTGTGGTTTATTATTAAGAATAATTACCTAACTGCTTAGGCTACTTTATAGTTTCTTAATTTATTGCAGTGCAGTGTGGGGATGTAGTAGGCTATAAGCCAGTGTCTAACTGTAAGACTGTAAACAGCCTACCTCTATTTCTGCTCATGGAGGTTTTCATTCCACTTGGCATTGATAGGCTACACAACTTTATCCCAAGCGCACTGGTGCGTGCCCGCACGGGAGCGTCCAAGCATTCAGCACCATCTCTGTTATTGTTGTCTTTCGTCCGCGCGGGGAGCGCACTACACCCCACGTGGCCCGTTTCTGATTTTATTTTAATAAGGTCAGTAATAATGGCGCGAGTCAGCCGAGGAGAAAACAGCTCCCGCGGGGCCCATTGAGAGAAGCGCGATGCGCAAGGCCCCCGAGGTGCCACGAGCTGACCCTCGAGCATCACAAACAATCTGATCAGGCAGCTCTTGCTGCCGCTGTCCCCCTCTCTCGCGGGAACCGCCTCTGCACGCCACGCGCCCGGTCCCCATTGTCAGCTTCGGCGCTAATAAAATTGTCCCTCCTGCAGGCGAGGCTTGTTGGGAAATTAATTTTATCTAATTATACTGATGTCACCGCCGCCTTTCAGCGCGTAATTAAAATCTGACCTGCGAGCTTCTGCTTTCATTCTTTGATGGGGAAGGAAGGAAAAAACAGAAATTGAATTAAACAAATCAAATATTAGGTGGTTGATTGTGTTTGGAGGCTGATTATCGGTATGCCTGTTTCCTCTCTCCCCAGCGCACAGTGCAGAAAAACGCCAAGTATGTGTGTCTGGCCAGTAAGAACTGTCCTGTGGACAAGAGAAGACGCAACCGCTGCCAGTACTGCCGCTTTCAGAAGTGTCTCAGTGTCGGCATGGTGAAGGAAGGTAAGAGCAACGAAGTGACCACTGAAAACGTTTTAAACATGCAGGGCAGCCCATGCCCACACACACACACACACACACACACACACACTCATCTCCATGGTGCACCACAAACCTGTCCTCTAGTCCTTGATGATAAAGTTTGTCTCTGCACTCAGGGTTTAATGGACCGGTAATGACCAGGTCTGTGGCAGCATCACACACATCCCGGAGCAGTAACTTGTCCTCTCTCTCTGGTGGAGGAAGAAAGTAGAAAATACACCATACCAATTAGTGCCCATCACCTTTTAAACCTCTGAATCGGGATTATTACACAAATGTATTTTAAAGCTTTGAAAGAGACACAGAGGTGCTCAAATATTTTCACACTTTCCATCTCTCCATTTGTGTCATCACCTCTGATACAGCTGACTGTTGCTCCATGGTGGAGATGTTTTACTGATGTGTAGCATGGCAATTATGCTGCTCTCATTTCCCTGAGGTTTCTCACCTGTCTCTCTCTCACACACACACACACACTCTCTCTCTCTCTCTCTTTCACACACAAACACAAACAAACCCACACACCATACTCTCTCCTCTATCCCATTAACACATGACTGCAGCCGGTAGAACAGCTCCACTGCCATCTGCTGGCTTGTAGCCTCTTGTGTAGGGATTGTGGGAATGTTGGAGAGCTCCTGGAAAAAGCCTCCCTTCAGTCATGATCTTACCATAACCATATCAATAAGAGAATAGAAGTTCTTTGTGCATGCCTCATGAATATTACCAGATTCAACTGAACAACCTCTTCATTGTTGTCAATTCTCATTCTCTGGTTCACAGTGGTACGTACTGATAGCTTGAAGGGGCGCCGAGGCCGTCTGCCTTCCAAACCAAAGAGCCCCCTGCAGACAGAAGCGTCTCCTCCATCTCCCCCCCTCAGCCTGCTCTCCGCTCTGCTCAGGGCTTATTCCCACTGCACGCCCC